GAGAGAGAGAGAGAGAGAGAGAGAGAGAGAGAGAGAGAGATGTGGTCCGTAAGTACGTGTGGATCTCAAGCACATTGCGCCTGGACCAGCGGTACGAAAATTTGGTGAGGCCTTCTTGCCTGTCGACCGACCACACATTCCCTCCCCTCCAAATTTCCTCATATAAGAACCTTATCCGCCTGGTTGTTTCGGCACGGTCATTCTATTCGCACGCGTCCACATCGGTAAGCAGATCACGCATGATCGCGAATAATTTGTACTGTCACGTGTGCATGTGTGCGTATGTGCGTATGTGCGTATGTGAAAGAGAAAGAGAACGCGTTCACTCTATTATACCATGCCAGGCGAAGCGTACACAACGATGGTATACGGTCATTTGCATTTACGTGGATTAACGTTGATCCCGATTAACCTTAGGAAGTCGAAAAAGATGTCACGATGTCTTTGACGCGTTATCCTTCTTTCTCTATTTATGTAAGTTTCGCAATTCTCCACGAGTAACATTAGTTACTTTAATTCCAATCTGTGTATATCGTAACGGAACTGTTCCGTTATGACATAAGTGCGTCATTAGTCAGACAATCAATTTTAGATTCGTCCTTATTAGCTATTCTTTAACCGGGTTCTATTAGCATTCAGTTGCCAAGACTGCTCGCCGCCAGCGTGGGAAGCACGTGTACCGCGGAGAACCATTACTGAATTGCTGCTCGTATGGTCAACTTAATTATCATCTGAAGCGCGCGCGGTTGACACAATAGTCTATAAAAATGAAGTAAATCAATCAGAAAATCACACGTTGGCATGATCCACCTCATACAGCCATGTTAATAGTCAATCTTTATCAATATTTATTATACTTATTTTATCTATTTATCAGTATTTAAGTATCAATTATTTGATATTTGCCTTAGGTGAGGTTTATATTTAAATTTGGAGTTAGATGCGACTTTTTCAATAGAAAAGCAATATAATGTCGAATATATTATATGATTCAAGTGATAAACTCAAATCTTACTTTAAATTCAGATATATTACATGTGAAATAAATTTCAAGTAACAACTATTAATACAGGTTATATATTTTCCAGTAGAGAATCCTTCTGTTGGCGTTATTAAGCTTTTTTTTAGGTGTGTTTAATATAGAAAAAGATAGAAATACGCATGCACAAATACTTTGTAAGGGAAAAATACCAATGCTTGTGTTGTATGTGTATGTGCACACAGAAAAATACATACTACATTTTAAATAAATGTTACTTGTTTCAAGTATAAATTTATATATCCGTAAATCTACTTGGAAACTAAATGAACCTAAGAACTATTGAATATCTGTTCAAGAATAAGTTCATCGTAATATTATGTTTTACAGTATTATTATATTATTATATAAATATTATTATTGTCATTATTATAAACATGAAACTTATTCACAATACATTCTGAATCCTAGTAAATTTAGTATTTCAATTAAGAATATTAAATTAAAACAAAATTTCGATTTGTTTATTGCATAAAGTCGAACCAATGTTTTTTTGATAAAGTTTTATAAAGATATTTTTGTGAAGAGAATACATTCTTTTTTGAATACACAATAATATGAGTTTTCTTAAAGCTTCTGATGAATATATTTTAATACTATTATTAAGAAAATACTGTTCATAGATAAAATACTCTTTATTATTTAAAAAGAAAAAAGTGAACTGGCTGTAATCGCTTTTCTTCACAATAGAACAATATTTTTCTGTGTGTAGACACTTACATATTCTGGGCACTTTTATTGTTTTGATTTTTAAACATGAATATATTTAAATTTTCAACATAGAATATACATATATACATGTCTAATATATAGATATATTCTGTATTGAAAGTTTAAATACTCGAGTTTAAAGACTAAAAAGATAATAATATGCAGGGTTAGCTATACTGAAAAAAGAATACTTGAAATTTTTTTTGGTAAAAAATTTGGTAAAAAATTCTTTTGTGATATATAAACTTTATTTACATAAATAAAAACTTCACTTACATAAAGTTTATTTCACAGAAATAAACTTTATATTTCCCAGAAAAAGGAACTTTATATCCCGCAAAGTTTCAAGTATTTTTTTCTCAGTGTACATGTCCAGGCATTGGTACTTACCGTACATTCTGTAAAAAGAAAGGAAAAAAAGAAAATAAATATCATATCCACATATAATAATACAATTTCTCAGGTAATGATAGTAGTAGTAGCAGCGGCAGTAGTAGCAATAGTAGTAACAGACCGCACGACGGAAGGCTCACCTCGCGACTGCGGAGTGTGTGCGTAATCGCCACGTGTTAGCTGGAGCTCAACGGCTCCTCGTGCAGCATCCCGGCAGTCTCCTTATCGCCTTATTACTTCGTCCCCTCGTCTTTTCCCGAACGGGTCTTATTACCGCGGGCTCGTTTCCTTGCCCTCTTCTTGTTTCCGGCGGTTTTCGCGCACAATGTCGCGTCGATATATCGACCGTTAGACGCTACACCGCCGCCGCAAGCGCGCGCGTGTCGTTTACCGTCGAGTGTACACCAACGGGCGAGGAGATATCTCGCGAGCCACTTCAACGGATAAGTTGCTTGGCGCACTTAACACAATTCACCGGCGTCGTGACCTCCTTGCTAGCGTTTACCTTGGCGCGGTCGCGGTCGCGGTCATCGTGCGTCTGCAACTTACCGGGACGTCTCGTCGTGGATTACGCCGACGTGTATCGATATCTCGCCGGTGTGCGCTAATGACTGATGTGACTCGGCGCGTATAAAATGAAAACGAAAAAGCAAAGAAAGCGAAGAGAAACGGGATCTGTTACCCTAGATTTGTAAAATCGGTAGATCGCACTGACAGTCTTTACTCCTCCGCGGCTATTTTCTCCGAGAAATATGCGAGAAAGAGGTGACCCGAGAGAAACAGAGAGCGTTCCTCGCAAGTGTCTGAATCAAATTTGAAAAGATTCGCGATAGAGATAGCGGGTTACAGCGCAAGGTACATTCACCGAGAGAGAGAATGCGAGCTTGATTGAGAGAGCAAGGGAGACAGAGAGGGAGAGTTAACGTTCAACGCGCGTTTCCACTTCCGGCCTGTCCTGTGTTCGTCTTACACCGTGAGAGAGAGAATGCGTTACCGCACTTCGGGGCTCGCGTTTCCGCTCGCGACGAAGATGTTGTGCCGACTGATAACCCACCGTCTACTTACCTCAGTCGAGCGCCCCTAACGCGCCGAACTCCCTGGCACGACAGGTGCTCCGCAGGAGGAGTGGGAATAAGAGGATGGTCTCGCGGAGGGGACAGGGATAGTATGTACCCATAGCGGCAGAGGTAGCGGCAGAAGCAGCGACGGCGGCGGCGGCGGCGGCGGCGGCGGTGGTGGCAGAGCAACGTAAGAGAGCGAAAAAGAAACGGGAAGAGATATCCTCGTGCGAGAGAAAGAAAGAAAGAAAGAGTTGGAGATCTGGACGATGACGGTGGCGGCGGCGGTGGCGGCGGTGGTGGCGGCGGTGGCGGCGAGTCAGTCCGTCGGATAACCGAGCTGAAGACCGAGGAGAAGAGGGCAACGACATCGCTCCGCGTCTCTCGACGGGCTTCGACACATTTACCGAAAACTACGCCACCGTCACCGCCGCCACTGTCGTTTCGTCGGCATTCTTCGAATCCCTTCGAAATCGATCGATCGCGGTCCCGCGCGCGTCGCGGGAATTCTCGTCGATCAAGGGCGTGCCTTCGCGGACGCGTGATGTTGTTAGGTCATACGAGTGTACGCCGCCGATACGTGCCATTTGCGCATTTTTGTTTCTATTCTATTATTTTTTTCTTTACTTTTCTCTTCATCTATTTTTTCCCTACCTCTGTGAGCCTCCCTGAGACTCCCCTCGCCCCGTGGATCGACTAAAAGCTCACCCTCTCTTCTAGCGCGACGCGTTTCACTTCGACTTCTTCGAGGTTTGTCCTACTCCAGAAGCGGACGCAGATGTCTGAATGTCCATCCATCAACGGGATTTCTCATTGGTCGAAGCGGCATTTCATAAGCTGGATAAATTTTCACGATTATTACGACGTGAGTCAATCGATGATGGAAACTCTGCACAGAGAGGATTTTATGGTAAAAATTATTAGAGAAGTTTATAGCCGAGGAATAGACTAACATTCTGCAGTAATTGGCTATCCTTTCATCTCATATGTGCTATTTATATTTCAGGAACATTGAAATGTGCTATTGAAAAATCTGCTATGTTTCTAACGAAATTTGCTATGTTCCAACAAAATATAGACATTACTGGTATATTTTTATACTACTAAAAACATAGAAAAATAAAAAAGAATTTATATAAAAAAAATATATATAAAATTTTCTCCGTATACAATTTTTTAATTACATTTTTTAAGTACATTTATGAGGCAAATATATGTGTATTAAATGTGTATTGTGTATATTAAAGTAATTATTAAATTTACATTATACAATAATGTACACTTATTGATATATGATGCAATAACAAATTCATTAAAAGTTACATTCAGATTTTTATACTTTATATTACATGATATATATATTGTTTTGAGCAAACTTTGAGATATATTTTTAAGTTGCATTTATGAAGCAAACATACTGTGTATTGAATTAATCATTAAATTCATATTATACAATAATATAAATTTATTATTACAACAAATCACAGCAGGAAATCAACAAAAAATTACATTCAAATTTTCATATTACATTTTTATATTATTACATTTATACATTATTTATACATTACATTTATATAATTTAGGATCGATTTTTCTTGGTAAACTAATTAACAGTTAAATCATATACCTGTCTGTCTAATTTAAAGACATACATATGATTTAACTATTAGTTCACTTACATCAAGAAGTTGGAAAAATCGGCCTTTAATATTTAGAATAAATTTTAGTAATTTTTTCTTATTCTCTTTTATTTTATTTCGTCATTCTACGTGAAACAAATATGAATATCCTATGAATCACTCATAAGGGACACAACTTTTACAAATAGTAGAGTAGTAAAGTTGCTGCCAAATTTACATATATCTGTCTATCTAGGTAACGTCATTTGTTTCTGTCAATTGCAATTTTTCGTGATTCAGTATAACCTACCGGGATTAGAAAATTAGAAGACTGTTCATTATTTGATAATTGAGATGTGTTTGTCACCCTCAGTCTCCTCATCACCGTTGCAGCTGTGCCATCGCGTTTGACACGTCTATTTTCTGCATACCTTTCCCCTTTTCTTATTTTTATGTATATAGTATCTTTCTATCTTGCTCATCTCTCCTCGATTATATATTTTAGACAGTACTAAAAATTAATAAGGGAATCGTAGAGTCAGTATTAGCTAACTCAAGTGGTTAGCGTTGCTGCTCATGGTAAAGTGTTCTCGCGACTAACGAAAAAAGGGAACATTTTCCGTTTTCCCGATCGCGCTAAAAACCCGGTGCAGTCCCTCGCCAGTTCACGCGTTCTAAGAAGGATCGGGGTCGCCGGGATCGTCGGCATAAGCGCGTTTGTGTCGTGTAAGAGGCAGGGCAAAATGCGACGGTCGATCCGATCCGAGACGATGCCACAGGCGGAACGAGATGCGACGAGACGAGGAGTACGAGCCGAAGCTCGTCGTTGTAGTCGTCGTTGTGCACTTAACTGCCCTAAAAGGCAGTACTTCTCTCTTTGCTATCTAGTCACCGTTGTCTCTGGAAGTGGAATGCCTACGGCGAGGTGTTCCGAACGTCTCTCGCGCACTACGTGTGATCACGAGCGTGCGCGACCCCGCACTGAGAGAAAAAAATGGTTGATCTAACTAAAATTATAGAATTATTTTTGGCCTCAACCATATTTTTTGATTATTTTAATACGAAAATAATAGTAATAGCATGCATATAAGATTAGTACTACTAACTTTAGTATTCAATAAAAATAATAATAAAATAATATAAGAACTTAATATAAAAAAATTTTTCTTTATCATATATTTATAGTAATTAGAATTCAATGTCTATATGTACAGGGTGTCCCAGGAATTTTTAAAGAACTCGTGGAGACATAGTACGGATTGAGGTAAACATAAAAGTCCTATACCGTTTTGTGATATTCGCAATAATTATTGAGATATTAATTAAGGAAGTTTTGTGAAAGATGATGCGAAATTTGGTAGATGAGCTGTAGTGGCGACGTCTGCCAGCGTGTGTTTGTACATTAGATCAAGCTGAACAAAAAAATCCTTTACTATTTTTCTAATAACTTTGTAGATTTTTATTAATTAAAGAAGATTGACAGATGATCGCTCGCGATAATATATTAATGATAATATATTAATATCTAATTAATAACTAAAAATCTACCAAGTTATTAGCAAAAAGATAGAGGCCTTTTATTCAGTTGTTTTGTTCAATTTGAGATACAAGCACATGACGGTATATATCGCCATCAGGGTTGGGAAAGTTACTTTTTAAAAATAACTAGTTACAGTTACAGTTCCTTTTGTTGAAAATGTAACTAGTTACAGTTACAAGTTACTAGCTATGAAAAGTAACTCGTTGCAGTTATAGTTATTCAAAAAGTAACGAGTCGTTACTTTTAAGTTATTTTCTTGAAATGATTATAAATTATTATTGTAAATATAAAAATCTTACATTTTAAGTTTTAAATTAAACTCTGAAGAATTCTTTTTGCATCTGAAAATGAACTCAGAATTGATGACATACGACTGGATTCTTTTTTAATTCTTTTTGAATTCTCTGTGCTATTTGGATTATTAAATTAATATACGATTACTATATAATTTTAATTTTATTTTGTTATTTTATTGTATGTTTTATTTTATTTTATATTTAATTTTATTTTATGTTTCCCAAGTAACTATTAAAGTAACTGTTAAAAAAGTTACAAGTTACTAAAAATTAGTAATTAAGTTAAGTTACAGTTACTGAAAAAATGTAACTGTAACTGTAACTTCGTTACAAGTAACAAGTTACTTCCCAACCCTGGTCGCTATTACAGTATATCTACCATATTTTGCGTGATTATTCACGAATCTTCTTTAATTAATATCTTGATAATTATTATGAATATCGCAAAATAGTATAGGATTTTTACATTCACCTTTATCCGTAGTACGCTTTTACGACAGCTTCGAACGTTCTTCTGAGACATCCTGTATATACATATCTTGACATTTATGGTAGTTATATCTTTATCTGATTATAGTTATAAATACCAAACATTTTTTTCTTAATGCGAAGTGTAAGTTAAAGCGCAATTGATTTAATTGTGACATAACATTCACATGTTATATTGCGAAAATACTTGGCAATATCGATTACATAATTACCGATAGTCTACGATACATCGAATGTAACGCGTAATGAAGCTTCAATAAAGCCTTAATATTTATTGGACGCAGTAATTTTTCTAATCATTGTCATCGTATCTGAATATATTGGGTTGACCTATAAGTTCGTGTGGATTTTTAAATACAATTAAAATGTATTTTATTCTTGTTAAAAACAATTTTAATCAATAATATATGCACTATTTTATTCAACAATATTTTTTTGCTATTTTTCACGTAATTTCATAATTTCCCTTTCATAAAACTCTTGTGCTTTTTCAGCGAAGAAGTCCTAAGTGATTTTTCACGTCTTTTAAAGAAGCAAAGTTTATACCATTAAGAGAGTTCTGTAATGAGCGAAATAGATGATAATCGGAAGGAGTAATGTTGGGTGAATACAGTGGGTGAGATAAAATATTCTAACCAACTCTAACAATTTTTATGGAAGTATAAAAGCATAATGCACCGGGAAAACTTATTACTACTTTCCATGTTCAAACCGTAACAAAGACAACTGGACTTCTTTAAACATTACCATTTACATTACAAAATATGTTCTGAAATATCAGTTATCAAAGCGTATATATATGGCCAAAACTATAAAAAAATATATAAAAATATATAAAACTTTTCTTCTAATATCAATATGTGAATGTCAACTAGTTAAAAATCCACACAAACTTATGGATTAATTCAATAATATAATACGATATATTATGATAGAGATTAAACTGTCGAAATGAATATCTAGATAATTATTAAATTATTAACCAATTTTTCTTTGGCCATGTAGAACAGAAATTAACGATAACGCACGTTAACAATCTTAG